TGGGAAAATATTTTTGGGTGTCCACTGGTCCTGTCGTATTGTAGTCAGTAAAAGTGGGAAAACGGATGATTTTGGGTGCCCACGTCCTGCCGTATAATAGTCGGTAAATGTGGGGGTGGTTTTTGTTGGAAATTGGGTTGGGTTTAGAACCCAGACTCAATTGGGTCGCCCATGGTGGCATGACCCAATTAGGAAAGATCCAAATATCAGTAACAAATTATATATATATATATATCAAGGTATGGGATAATCTTGATATGGGATAATTGTTAATATAATATATGATAATTATTGATCAAATATTATAGATATGGGATAGATATTATCTGGGATAATATATCTATCTTATGGGTCTCGTAACTCTCCCATATAAACAGATCTTGAATTCTGTTTTTGATATAACAAAAAGAAACATACGTTCTCTCTTCCCATAAACTATTCTGCCTTTGTACTGTGATTGGTGTGAGTAAAACTCTAGTAGTTTTACTCTATTGCTGTGGAGATTATTCAAGAGTATGTGATTCACCTTCTAAGCTGGATTTATTGTGCAATCTGTTTACCAACAAGGTTTGTCTGAATCCATATTATTTTCCGCTACGTATATAGTATTATATTTTTATCATTGGTATCAGAGCCATTATTAAGGTGTTTTCGTCCTATTGAATATCCATGAAATTAGTATTTTATACTAATATACGTATATTATTTTTGTTTGCATAAAATATTGATGTTTGGTCAAAAAAGTTTTTATCAATTTTTTTTATTCTGATTATATATATATATATATATATATATATATAAATTTTTTGAACATTCACATGTATATAATATCTGTAAAATTACGTTAATAGATGATAAATCATTATTGGTAGTTTTATATTTCAAATTATCAGATATTGGCATGAGAAATCGGTATTAAAAAAAAAAGAAAAAGGGAAACTGATAATGGTGCAGCACGAGACTGCTGCTGCACTGCGTATGCTGACATGAGCGCCAGCACATGCGTTGATACACACGCAGATGATACACACGCAGGTGTGTGTGGGATTAGTTTTGATAAGGCTCTGTTTGCTTGCTTTACTTTAAATAAAATAAAAAACTACATTAATTGCTCATAAAATATTCGCTATAATTCTGTTTTTAGCATGACTTGTATGGTTAGTCTTATAATTACTTTGCCTACAATCTGTTTAGATTTCAGATTTTTTGAAACAAAAAAATATATATTTTTTTGAGCTATTAATTCAATAGTTTTTACGCTAAAATGCTTGTGTACATGCATAATTAATTTTCTGGACTTGAATATTTTACAAAGATATACTGAAATCACATGCTATTTATTGGTATAAGATTTATACTGTTTCAGTTTTTAAAATATTTATTTATATTTTCTGTGTATTATTTTTGTGAGGATGTATTTTCTGAATGCCAACACGTGGCATGGTGACGCCGACGTGTCAGCCGAGGTGCCACGTGTCCTGGTAGTTACGCCGAGGTGATCTCGGAGTTGCCGAGGTTATCTCCAAAGATATCGAAATCCGAGATAGGCGGACAGGGGACAAGAGTCCTAAGACGAAGAGGGGACTTAACCTAGATAAGGATAAAGCTCTTAGGGAGTTTATCTTTATCTCTTAAAGAGTCCAAAGTAAACATTGATATGAAGTTCATAGAAGTCATACTTCTAGTGGGACTTGGATTGAGTATATTATAAAAGAGAGGCACCCCCGTGGGTCTAAGGTATGCAATTTATGTTTTGAGTATTCAGTTTAGCACTTGATTTATCTTTGAGAGATATACTGACTTGATCGTCGGAGTGCCCCCGGGTGGAAGAACCACGCCGGAGCTTTTTCTTTCTGTTACAAGTTGCTAAAGCCATCTATTCTGCCTGTGCTCTCCAGCTGATCACTAAACGGGCAGTGTGGTCAGATTTTCACCCACACAATTTGGCGCCGTCTGTGGGAAAGAAGGAAGAATAGATGGCTAGTAACGGACAGCAGGAAAATATTGGGCACAAATATATTTAATATTATACTCATTTTAAAGGTATGATTTTATACTTTTTAATGATGTCAGTTTTATAAAAATTAAATTTACAAGTTAAAAGTTATTTGTAATATAATAAGAAATACAAAATGAATAGTGTTTTGGAGGGATTCTTCATTTTTTCATCCTCCCTTCAAATATGAAGGATGAACTCATTCTCCTCCCAAATGGAGATGAATTTGAAGGGTGGGTTGGAGGAGACCATCCTTTATATTTGAAGATATGAAGGATGGGTTGGAGATGCTCTAAAAAACTATTTGGTGCACTTTTTTCAAATGTAATACTTCAATTCATGTAATCACAAACGTAATACTCTAATATAACACCCAAAAACACTAAAAAAATTCATTGATATACTTTTTTCAAACGTAACATTCATAGTTTGAAATTATACATTTACCCAAACTTACTAAGGAGTTTTGTACTTTTTTTGAAATATTTAAAAAATCTAACATCCTTTTAGAATGTTTGAACAATCCTATATTTCAACTTATTTTTATATTCTTTTTTAAATGTTTTCTATGTTTACCTATTTTTTCTTTTTTCTTTTCTAAATTCTTTCCGAAATCTTCAAATCAAATACAGCGTAAATAAAAAAAAAAATTCCATGTAAAAATTAATCCTAAATTTGATTCCCATCGATTAGTACCTTACCTTTCTAACATAAAAGAAAAAAAGAAAATGAAACAGAATAAAAATAAGGATATAATTGTAAATTTAATTTTTAAATAATATGTTAAATTTATTTTTCTAAAATCAACAAGACTAATTAATTTATAAAAAAAAAATAATCAAACTAAATGAAATATTGAGGTGTTTTAAGAAGGTAGTTAAAAGTTAATTTTTTTAATTTTTTAAAATATTTTTAAATATATATATATATATATATATATAAAATAAGAGAGGATATAATTTAAAATAAATTAAAAATTAAAAAATGATTTTTAACCACTTCCAAGAAAGGCCATTATCAAAATAGAATTTATGCATAAATTTTCACTTTAGATCGTAAATGTTCGCTTTCAAAAACAAATATTTATTATTGTTGTTTTGTATGGTGTGTTGCAGATTGCAATCTGTGATACTCCTATTTCTCTATCATATTCTCCACATCCTTATCTTCCTCCGTCTCTTTGTTTCTCTCGCTCGCTCGCTCTCTCTCTCTCTCTCTCTCTCTCTCTCTCCGTGTGTGTATCTCTGTCAAGAAAAGAAGGAAGAACATAGATTTGTAGGAAGGCGTGGCTTGTTGGTGGGGGGAAAGTATCGGATAATAAATTGGGTATTGTTTTGATTTGGGAGTGTGTGAGGGTGGAGGAAGCATAAGATTGGAAGATTTGCCGGCGGAGAGTGGCGGCTGAGGGCGGTGATGGTAATAAAGATGAAGCTAAGAAAGCCAGTGGTTCTCTTACTTCTGTTCACAGTTCTTGCCCCAATTGTTCTTTACACCGACAGACTCGGCACCTTCAAGTCTTCCTCCTGTAAATCCCCCCGTTAATTCTTTACTCTTCTACTTCTTCTTCTTCTTCTTCTTCTTTTTCTTGGTTCCTCCTATGAATCATTCATTTGATCGATTTCTAATTCGCCTTTCTTTTTTTGTTTGATGTATTTTTACAGCTAGAGATGAGTTCATAGAGGATGTTTCGACTTTCGTAAGTCTATAATTTTACCTACAATACAATTTCCATACTACTGCCTTTCAATCATGAAGACAGACAATTTCTTTCTTTCTTTCTTTCTTTCTTTCTTTCTTTCTTTCTTTTCTTTTTTTGAAATAAATATAAAAATCAATCTTATATTTTTTTTTTCCTTCTATGTGTAGACATTAGGTGGTGATGTCAGGCCCCTGAATCTGCTTCCCCAGGTACAGATCTCTTGATGATCTTGACTTGTTTTACATCATGAAATTTCAGATCTTTATTGTTTTAGATAGATTTTCACTTTTATTATTATATCATGTGTAGGAGCCATCCAAAAACCTAAAAGAGCCTTTGGGGATGGTATATTTGGAAAACTCTAGTCGTCTATCTCTTTCAGATTCGAATGCTTCAACTGGGGAGAACTCTCGCAAAACTAGACAACTAACTGAAGGTTCATATCTATCTTTATCCCTATCTCTTTCTCTATCTCTCCACTGTAACTTTGAATTAATTCTTTCTTGCAATATGTTACTGGTTCTGTAAAATCCATGAAATCCGGTCAAGATTGCTTTATTTACTTTTCATTCCTTGTTTCCTTTTTCACAACCGACTTAATAATGTCGAAACTGCAATTTTCAGAATCAGCGGAGCACTTAAACACAGTATCAACCACAACCAATGGCACAGGAGATCGTCATCCTGAGGAGAAAAATCCAACTAGGCAGGTGACCGAACAAGGGCACAAACCTGGGTTAACCGACCAAAATGAAAACAGGGAGCAAGAAAATGTCAAGGACAAAATGGGGAAAGTGGGGGTCTCTAAGGATACCTCCACCTCCACCTCCACCTCCACCTCCAATAATGCTGCTGTGAACCTGGTAAACCTTTTATTACTAGATTCATTCTGATTTGTTGTGCTGTCATTTTCTTTCTTCGTGTCAACGGGTGGCAGAAGATTTTGCTATCTGCATTTTGGTTATTAGTGGTTGCTTGGATGATTTCATCATCTAGTTCCTAATTATTTTTTCAGTGTGTAATGGTCCTCTTGGAAACAATTACTATTCCTTTTGAGCAGTTCAATTTAGCTGATGCCAGGTGGTGTGGAATCTCAAGTTTGACAATTAGAATATTCTTAAGATATGGATTCTGAGAGCCAACGCGTACTTTGTGCTGAATTAGTTAACAAGAGATTGTCATGACCATGTTAAAGTGGCCGGAGCATATGACATACCGTAGCAAGTGATTTGCCAGTATGCAAATTTATAATTATGAGTAATGCCCATAAACCTAAAATTACTTTCGTGCTCCAGACTGTTGGATTTACCATATTATGCCAGTGATTACAGTGTTTTTGGATTAAAATTCAACTTTTGCATCAATAGTCAGTTTTCCATTAAATTTTCAACCAACTACCTTCCAGTGTGATCTACATCTTGTTCTGTATGATTGACTTGGTAAACTTGCTACTTATTCTAGGGTGGGGCGGAATTATGATATTCAAATCTTGAAAGATTCTTATATTTTGATTTTGTACTTTAGGAAACAAAACTTGAGAAACAATCTGCTAAAACCTCCGTCAAATTTGGTGCGGGAGAACCCATAAAGACCAAAATTGAGAAACAGAATGATAAAACAGTTATGCCATCAGATGCTCGTGTTCGGCATCTTAAAGATCAGCTTATCCAGGGAAGGGTGTACCTTTCCCTTACAGCTACAAGAAACAATCCCCACTTTATAAGGGAGCTCCGGCTACGGATGAAGGAAGCTCAACGATCACTTGGCGAAGCAACCAAGGACTCTGAACTACCAAGGAAGTAAGTCTTCTCTCTTTATATTGTTGTTTGCCATCTGCTTTTAAAGTAGTCTAGCTTCTTGCCAAAGGCCTAATTGATGTTTCTGCTTGTGTCGTGTTCGGCATCTTAAAGATCAGCTTATCCAGGGAAGGGTGTACCTTTCCCTTACAGCTACAAGAAACAATCCCCACTTTATAAGGGAGCTCCGGCTACAGATGAAGGAAGCTCAACGATCACTTGGGGAAGCAATCAAGAACTCTGAACTACCAAGGAAGTAAGTCTTCTCTCTTTATATTGTTGTTGCCATTTGCTTTTAAAGTAGTCTAGCTTCTCGCCAAATGCCTAATTGATGTTTCTGCTTGTTGAGTCTTTGTTTGGCAAGCAAAAAGTTTTCATATTGTATGATGTACGTTATTGACCATTTTTTCTGTCTTCTTTTGTTCTAACCTACAATCATGATCTGTACTTGAATAACAGTTCTGTTGAGAAGTTAAAAGCATTGGAGCAAACATTGGCCAAAGGGAAGCAAATTCAAGATGACTGCACTGCTATGGTAAAGAAGCTTCGTGCTATGCTTCACTCGACAGAAGAACAGCTCCGGGTCCACAAGAAGCAGACCTTGTTTCTAACGCACTTGACTGCAAAAACACTGCCTAAAGGTCTTCACTGTCTTCCCTTGCGCCTTTCAACCGAGTACTTTAGTTTGAATTCTTCAGAGCGGAACTTTCCCAATCAAGAGAAACTAGAAGACCCTAGGTTGTACCACTATGCACTATTCACAGATAATATATTGGCAGCAGCAGTTGTTGTGAATTCCACTATTTCTCATGCAAAGGTGTGTGATTTGTTTGCCTGTGAAAATTTCACTTGCTCATTATGATAGCCTTAAGAATTCTAATTTTTCTTTTCCTCAGCAAATAAATGAAGTCTAATCAATCTTAACTTTTGACGGCCCAAACTTCTTTCTTCTAACATGTCATTGGATTCTTGGCAGGACCCTTCAAAACATGTTTTCCACATTGTCACTGATAGGCTCAATTATGCAGCAATGAGGATGTGGTTCCTGGCAAGCCCAGCAGGCAATGCTACAATACAGATTCAGAACGTTGATGAATTTACATGGTTAAATTCGAGTTACAGTCCAGTTCTCAAGCAGTTGGGTTCTCCAGCTATGATTGATTATTACTTCAAGACTCGCCGTGCTGATTCTGATTCAAATTTGAAGTTCCGGAACCCTAAATACCTGTCAATCATGAATCATCTCCGCTTTTATCTACCTGAGATCTATCCGAAGCTCAATAAGGTGCTGTTCTTAGACGATGATATAGTGGTGCTAAAGGATCTCACTGGCCTTTGGTCTCTTGATCTGAAGGGGAAAGTGAATGGTGCTGTTGAGACTTGTGGAGAAACCTTCCATCGGTTTGATCGTTATCTCAACTTTTCAAATCCTCTTATTTCAAAGAAATTTGACCCCCATGCTTGTGGATGGGCATTTGGAATGAATATCTTTGATTTGGAAGAATGGAAGAGGCAAAACATAACAGAAGTGTACCACTCCTGGCAAAATCTGGTAATCTGAACTGAATAATAATTCAATGTTGTTCTCTCTGCTATCAGATATAGTGCCTGAAATTTATAACTTGAAGTGTGTAATCTTGCTTAGTAATCTTGCTTAAAATTCTGAAGCGGACTTGTTTTGTCCGCAGAATCATGATAGACAACTGTGGAAGTTGGGGACTCTGCCACCTGGTCTAGTTACATTTTGGAATCGCACTTACTCCCTTGATCGGCTTTGGCATGTCCTGGGTCTTGGCTACAATCCAAATGTCAGCCCAAAGGAAATTGAACGAGCTGCTGTCATCCACTACAATGGCAACTTGAAACCGTGGCTTGAGATAGGCATACCCAAGTTCCGAAACTATTGGGCAAAATTTGTGGATTATGATCATTTGTATTTGCGGGAATGCAACATCAATCCTTAAAATGACCCGTGGAATCTCCTGTTGATGAACACACTTGCGGACATCATTTTGGCCAATTTATTTTTACAGGTCAGTGTTGCATTGCTGCAAGGGTTCCTTTCGTTTTAAATTATTATTATTTTTAAAGAAGTTAATGTTTTTCTGCTATGCTTTTATTTGGAACACAAAAGGGTTGAATCCATGAGTTGATATCTATTATTGATATCCTTTGTTACAGAGCTGGAGAGGCGCTGAAGTATTTGTAAATGATTGAAAGCTAGGTTTTTTTTTTTTTTTTTTTTTTAATATATAATTCATTAGTTGGTATGTATAATCTTTTCAATATCATGTAAATGATATATTTGTAGCAGCATCTTCTATATTGTTGTCCTTTTTGAATACGGAAAATGGCTGGTCATTTGAGGCCAAAGTATTCTTTATGTTTTGCAGTTTATTAAAATGCATATTTTCAAACCTCTTGTGCTTATTTTGTTGACTGCTGATAATGCATTTTGAAGAGGAATTGAATGTAGCTTCTCATAATTCAGTATTTTTACATTTTTATGCTTTAATTTTGAAGCTGGCATGTTTAACTGCTAGAGATTTGCGGAGGTGAAAACAATGGGGTCTGGGTCTGTTAGAAGAAATCATTTTTTGTTGTTTTATTAATGGTTTTCATATCAATTTCGTCTTTATTTTCTTTTTAGCTGCTTTGGATGAGGATGAGGATGATGTGGTGGGGCGTCTAGTTTGTAACGGTTGGCATTAGTCAAATCAGTGTGAAGAACGCTCATTCAATTCGGGAAGACTAGTAGGGAAGGAGTAATGTATAGTGTCCTTTTTTCCCCTTGGCTCACCGACATTACTAGGTCATTCAAATTTCTCGTTTATGTGTTTAGATTTTGACACATTTTTCTTTTCTTTCTGATTCACAAATTTGAGAGCTAAACACAGTTGTTAATCTTAAACTTGTTAATGAATGGAGAATATTTAAGTTGAGAAATTTGTAATTTATCTTGTAATTGCTACATGTTATGCTTTTTGAGCAAGTGGGTTGGGGTGGTTGCAGGTAGATAGATAGACCAGTAACTTAATAAGTGAGTATTTATGTCCGGATGTATGTATGAGATGACATGAAATTAAGGCTAAGTTTGGCATATTGTAAAAAAATTAAAAAGTCAAAAAGTTACTCCAAAAGTTAAAAAGTTAACACTATTCATCAAAAGTTAACAATTATGGTTGCATAACTCTCAATTTTAATAATTTTTTATTACACATTTTTTCATAAAAAGTCAAAAAATTAATTTAAACATTTATATTTTCTTCTTCAATTTTTTAGTCTAAAAATATAAAAAGTGTACTTATTTAGGGCATTTCAAACAATTTTTAAATATATAAGTTATATTAAGAATTTTAAATAATTTATTAAATTTTTTTATATGCGTAGGCTTCACACAAATATTTGTGGTAAAAAATTTAATAAATTATTTAAAATTCATAATTATTTTTCTAAATATATTCCCATTTGGGTAGCTAATAAGGGATGTTTGGTGCGCATCATGCACCACACTTATTTGATGACAGTTGTCTTGTGGGTCCAGCTGCTGCCGACGACAGATGAATGAATAGATTTTGGTTGGTGTTCACATGGTGCGGGCCCTGCCCTGCGTTGTCCGCAATTGATTTTTTCTTTTTTATTATAGTGAGAGATTATGGATTGTTATAGAACTTATGCTTAGTTTGGCATATTTAAAAAAAATTAAAAAATTATTATCTTATTTAAGTCGTGTCATTTTATTTAAATCACATTAATTCTTTAATATATCACTTCAAATTCAACTCAAATTCAATTTATATTTCATAAAAAGTTAAAAAGTGTACTTATTTAGATCATTCCAAACAATTTCTAGTTAAAAGTTAATTTTTTATTTATTTTTAAAAAATATGTGAACAAATTTTTAAAAAAATAATGTGATTCAAAATATATTAAAAGTCAAAGTCAAAATCAAAATATCCTCAAATTAGGCCTATATTTATTTACATTACTCGTTTGGACAGTGGAGGAGGAGGGAGGAAGATAATTTTAGAAAGGGAAAATCATGGGTGGAATTAACTATTATGTTGTGTTTGATTGAGAGATTTGAAAAAAAAAATTTAACGAAAAAAATAGACGAAATGTTAATAAAATATATTTATATTTTATTTAATTTTATATATATATTTTAAAAAATTTATTATCAAATACAGCGTTAACAAATTAGGGATATAATAGTGAGGTCCAACCCGTTTTGAATAACTGTGGCCTACAGGCTGCGGGTGAGCTCAGAGCACCAGTATTGTGTTGAACATGTTTTGGAACCATTTTAGACTTGCATTTTACAGTTATCTCGCTTCCATTTGCTTCTTTTCTCTGGATGTTTGCAGTTCGATTGCAGTTAAGAAATTTTTAATTTGTTATCCGTTCATCAAATTAACAGATTAAAAAAAAATCAATCCGCATCCGTCTACTAGATTGATGGATGCGAATTGAACGGATAGATGCGAATCAATTTGGTTATTTAAATTTTTATAAATTTTAAACATAATACAATAATTTATCAATATTTTTTTTAGATAATAATCCAACTCAACATAACTAAAAGATTATCAAGTAAATTGTTAAATACTAATAATAAATACGTAAAAAAAAAACATGCATTATCAAAACTATTTCATTATTTAATATCAACACTTGTCATTTGAAAGATTTCTAAATTGAAAATACAACAGAATATCAAAACTCTTTTTCAATTGAAAATACAAACAAAATATTTAAATAAATTAAAAACACAAAATCTTATAAATTAGTAGGGGTCTCGCGGTTTGACGGTTCAATTGCGGTCAAAAGAACCTCAAATTCATCATCCGTCCAAAACTAGACAGATTAAAAAAAATCAATTCGCAACTGTCCGCTAGTCATTATACATTCGTTTAAAATACAACAGATCAATTTGATTTAATCGATTTAAATGGATCAAAATATTCACTGAGTATCCTAGTTAGAGTCGTGTCATGGGTTGTCAGAAGTTAAGGAGTGTTCATACAGTAATGAGTCAGTTAATGGATTGAATTAGGAGAGAGATAGACAAAGAAAACAAAAAGTTAGTGGTGGTAGTAACAGGGAGATTTGGTGATGGATCTCTTATTGTCTAATTTGTCTTTCAAAAAGACAAGAATTATATAGGTACTTTCAAAACTCCCTAATATTTTAAAATTTGTTTCTTTTACTATATTATTCTTATATCTATCAGCTCTCTTATAAAGCCATCCTCACAGTGTATTTTAGAATAAAATTTTACTTTGAATCATAGTAAACTTTACTCTGATTACTCCGAATCAGAGTAAAGTTTACTATGATTCAAAATAAAATTTTATATTGTTAAGCAAATCAACATATTTTTAACCAGAGTAAAATTTTACTCTGAAAGTACAATTTTTCTATGATCTAAGGAGAGTATCTACTTTGAATCACACTAAGTGTCATGTATTAATAACCTTGCAAGTTTGGTTGCTGAGAAAAACACAGAAACATAACAAGAAAACCAAATATAGTCTTATCCTCACTGTTGCTTTGATGTTTAAATGATCAATTTCTCAACTTTTCCCTCGTTGTCTTGGGAACCAAACAAAAAATAACATCAAAATCAACAATCAACAAACATAGACAACGCTTTAAAACATGTATATATATATATATATATATATTCACATGCAACCGATACACATGTAGATAGAGGAATATATATACACACATATATATGTAGTTTAGAATCAGATCTCCAAATCTCCTTCTCAAAGCCTTATAAACATCAATTAAATAAGATTAAAGATTGGAATTTCAACAATCAGACAAATATAACACCTTGATAAATACGCCTTCCGAATTTCCTCATCTGAAAAGAGAGATCGACGATGGCAAGATCTGTGAACTGAGATCGCTAACACACATATGTATCTATAGATCCAAATTTCTGTTGTGCACTTGGCGACCCAATGGAAAATCTTCGATTAGTCGTCGGAAATAGAAGAGGAGGTGACGCGGCAGCGAATTTGGCTTCAGTTGTGGCAAATGAGGAGATCGCGGATCTCGGTGATGGCAGAGAAGAGAATTTCGACAAAGATGGTGAGGGAGATGAGGGACATGAAGAGGCTGTGCAAGGCCGAGGGAGAAGGGACGGTGGCTGCGGCAGATGAGAAGAGAGAGGTGGAGGTGAAGGAAGAAAGACAAAGTGATGTAGAAGAAGATGGTGAGAAGATTTAGTTAAGGGTATAATAGTCTGATAAAATATTTAAATAATAAATTTTGCCTTTATAAAAAATTTTATAATTATGTGGGGGTTTTAAAAGTATAATTTTTTTTCTAGGTCCTTCTAATAATAAAAGGAAGGTAAGAGGAGTTTATAGCCAAAATTCCCGTAGTAACATGCTCATATTTTGTTTTTGAGAAAAGGTTGGGACCCTTTTTTTTGGGAAACTTTCACCATTCCTAATATATTGTGATTGGTTAACTTTTTATTTTATTTTATTTTTTCTTTTTATCTCTGGTTAACATGTGTCTGGAAGGGGTTATGAGGGTTAAAAAAAGAGAGTTTGTATCATTTCTGTTTATTTTTTAATTATTTTATTATATATGTATATATGTGCATTTATATAGTGGACTTCATATTTACTTAACAAATTTTTTAACATCAATGATGTTACAGACTTCCAAGAAATATAGTTTTCACAATTCTCATTTACTTGTGATTGGTCCATGAAGGAAAGGGAAAAAAATAACAATGTTACAGACTCTCAAAAAACACAATCCCGTCCTACTCACTTGTGATTGGTCCAACAAAAAAAGAAAAAAAAAACAAAATTACATAATTGATCCACATCATTTTGAAAGTCATGAGATCCCTAACTTTGGGATTCCCAAACATTTTTCAAAGAAAAACAAAAAAATAAAAATATATAATTGATCTATATCATTTTAAAGTTTATAAGAATCCTTAACTTTAGAGCTCTTAAATATTTTTGTTTTAACATATCCTTCAATATTTTCATTTAACACACTAAGGCCAAGTTTGACAACACTAAAATAATCCATCTTTTTATCTTTTTATCTTTTTTTCATCACATCACCTCTCTACTTTTCTATACATCTTTTCGTAAAAAGACAAAAAATATACTTATTTAAGTCATTTCAAACAACCCCTAAATTAACAATTCTTAAAGACAAAATTGAATTTTACTTTTATTATTTTTTATAATATAACACACTAATTGCTCACTGTACATTCTTCTGTCAATTCATTATTACGAGGGTGGGCTTTATTCTTGTGTTGGTGGTTGTGATCGTCATCTTTTGACATTGTTGTCAAATTGGAATCACATAAAGATATAAACCACTATTCACGCATAACAGAATTACTTTAACAGAGTGAGCATATAATGCCGCAAATCACGTGGAAAGTGGGATCAGAGTTTGCCTAAGTGAGGAAAAAAATATGGAAGCGCACATGGTAAAAGCTACGGGGTTAAGACCACGTTTTAGTGAGTGTGTTAACCTCCGTGGTTAAATTTTGACTAGTTAAAAATATTATTTTGTACTGTAATAGAATTGTTAATTTGTATGTTAGGTCAAGTTTGGCATGACCTAAATAATACAAAAAGTTAAAAAGTCAATATCCTATTTAAGTTACATCATCTTATTTAAATCACATCACCTCTCTAACACATCACATCAAACCTAACCCAAACACAACCCATATAAGCCAATAAGTCAAAAAGTGTACTTTTTTAAAACATCCCAAACCAACCCTTAGTGTCAACGGTTAGTGTTATATATTAATTGTGACTAACGTTTTATCCAGAGAAAAAGAAGCGAAGGTGAGAAAGTGCCATGGGATCATCTGGTCGAATGTCCGGCTTTTGATCTTTTGGGCGTCCGGATCCTTCAAGTAAAAATATATATATATACATTGCAGTTGACTAGTTGATTGGCCGGAAGTCCGGCCATCTTCCTCAAAAGCTTCTGCTAACTATTTATATATATATATATATTCTTAACACACATTTTAACATATACATTGCACCACCATTTATTCTCTAAAATTAACAAACTCTTAACACACTTTAACACACATTTGTAGGTCTTACTTTTATCACTTTTTGTCATGTAACACACTTCAACACTCTTTTTTAGCTATTCCATTGTAGATGCTCTAAGAGTGTACATCTCAAGTTTATAAATTTTTAGGTTAATTTTTTATAGTACAATTAGTTAGGAGATTAAGTTTTGAATTGTTATTACCACAGTATGTGGTGTGGGTTCGATGCTCTGCTATTACATGAATCCTAACTTAAACGAAATTTATCTTAGGGGTCAAGACAAATTCTCAAGTTATAATCTCTTACTCAGAACGAACAACAGGATATATTGGTGATCTCTCCGAAAGACGCTGTCTTAGACCTACAGAAAAGTGAAAAGATTTTTCTGTAACAAAAATAAAATAAAATAAAAAATAAAGACAAGTGAATGAAAGTACCTGGCTTTTAGTCAAATAACAAGAGGAAAAGAGTGTATTTTCTTGAAAGGGATATTCTCAAGTTCATGTGGGTTAAGTTTGGCTAGTGAGAATGTCTTATATCAAGTCTAGTCTGGCTTAATATCGAGTTTAATTTAATCTTATCATCCCAACTTTGATCTTAAAAGAATCTTTAAATTTGAAGTCTACCCACTTAATCCAATGTGTATGAGTTATTATTTATCTTGAAGGGCTATTAAATAAATTGGACCTTTCAAATAATTATTTGAATTTTGGACCTTAACAAAATCTAATAATAAAGTATATTTGGGTTTTTTTAACAAACATTTGAATTTAAGCCATACGGAAAAAAAAAAAAAAAAAAGCAAAAAAAAAAAAATTTTGCTATCTATTTTTATTGTTAATTTTAATTTAGCCTGTAACTAATTAATTATATAAAAAAGCACTTTTTCATAAATTCCTTTTCATCTATTTATGTTCCATTTAGTCGACATTATTTTCTTATATTCCAATAAGTCCTATGAGTAATATAAGTATCAAAATACCCCCTAATAATATTCATATTTACAGTGTAAATATTTCATGATGTGAATGTTCATACCGCCGATGTGAATATTCACACCATTAATGTGAATGTTAATATGCCAACACCATTAATGTGAATGTTAATA